CCGGCCGGCACCTAGATAAGGCAGAACAATGCGGACACAGGGGAAAGCAGCCCGTTGTTTGTGTGAGCTGAAAGGTTTCCCTGGGAGTGTGGAGCGTGCTCCCCTTTGCCACCCGCCCCCGCAGAGGCTCCTCAGTGCTGAGAAAAGTGAGATTGTGCTTTAAAATATTAAATGGTTTTCCAATCAGTTCAGAATCTTAGCTTTCACCTGGGTCTTTTGTATGCGTTCACTTATTCCAGCAGGAGATTTGTAATAGAGGAAGCAGGTGTAATGTGGTGATTATAAAGATATTGTTGGGAGGGGGAAAAAAAGAGTGATTTTTTTTCAGTGCTTTTCTCCTCTGAGCCTGCCAGAGCTTCCTTTTCAGCTGACTCCATCACCTTTTTAGCAAGATGGTGTGTTTTTGTCCAAGTCAGTCAGTCAGTCAATTGTGCATAGGAAAATAAAAGGCTGCTGGGTAAATTTGAAACCTTGATAACACATTCCTCCATTTGTATATATTGTACAGCTTACCAGTGTATTCATTCCTTTGGCTTTCAACATTTCACAACTTTCCATAGGTCAGCCCGAGCAACAAAAACAGGTCCTGGTAGATTGAAAGATCCCTGCTTTCAGACACTCATATTCACATCACTTTGCCTGTTGATTTCCTGATTTTTATTTATTTTTATTTTTATTTATTTTTCTTTTATTTTTAATCAGCAACATCAAATGGGTCTTTGGAGGGCCTGGATAACCAGGAGGGAGGGGTGTGCCAGACAAAAACCATGAAGATCCTCATGAAAGTTGGACAAGGTAAAGACCATCTGCTGTTTCATGAAATCACTTTGATCGGTCTCAATGTCCTTTTTAGTTTCCAGGCTTCTTTTAGCAGTGTAGAGCAGAGAGGCAGTCGAGCCTTAGTGTGGTCATTCCTCCCTTATAGTCTGAAAGCACAGCATATTTTCTCTTCCTCAGCTACTGACAGATTTCTACAGAAGGAGGGTTGGTGTAATAAGATCTCTTCATTGGAGAGATCCCTAGAAGGAAAGGTCACCTGGGAGTAGTGTGTTTCAGTCATTTTTATTTTTATTTTAAAAACAAAAGCCACAACTCTGCTGCTCAGAATTATTTAAAATACATGAAAAGAGGGAAGCTAATATTTCTATAGTTTGCTTGTTAGGAATTCTGATTACAGAGAGGTTTTTGTTCATTGTCTCTTTTCACATATAGATAACCTATTGTGCAGGAAGAAAGAATTATTCTTCTAAGTAGAAGTTGGTTTAGTAGTCAATCAACTTCCTCAGTTAAACTGAAATGTCATCTGCTAAGCTTTTCTTGCCAATTACAGGAGACCCTATAGTTTCTGCAGATGGCCTCACAATTTAAACCTGAAATAACTAATATAACCATTTTGCTTTAAAAGGAAAATTACGTTTTTATATCTCCCAGCCCTTTGCATAAAGGTTCTTCTGTTAAACCATTTGTGTCTCACGAGGTACCTAGAGGCAGCTTGTGAGGCTCCATACCATCAAGTGCCAAAGCTGCATGAGTCCTCTTTCTCTCCCCAGATCCCAACTCAGCAGGGCAGCCCCGGTACACGGATCCCACCAGGCGCCCCGAGCAGGAAGCTGGCACCAACGGGAAGAGTTCCACCACCAGCCCCTTTGTGAAGGACCACTCAGGTAGGTGTGGTGGGGCTTTGCCCTGGAGCGTCTTCTCCTCCTTTGTCCCCAAATGTTTTATTTTACTATTAACTTCCTAGAAAAGCAAATGTATTCAACATGAGATGAGGCAAAAGCCAGTTGTGATTGCCCCGGTGGATAGTGTGTGGGAGCTGCAAGTTATGGCAGCAGCTGCTCCCTCCCCTCTTCCACTCTGCTGTAGAAGTTAATTACGTCATGTCACAGTGTCTCTCATTTACAGGAAAATTTCTGGATAGGGCATTTGCTAAGCAGCTTTACAGTGGTCAGTGCTGCCTTAGAGTTAGTACTCTGGCAGATGAACGAGTCCCTTTCTCTTCCCGCATAATACATTATCAAGTGGTTCTTGACAGCCATTTATAAAGTTTATTTCAGGGCATCTATAATTAATGTCCTGATGTTTTAGCTGACCATATGAAGTCTAGACATGTATGGCTGGTCTTCTACTAAATGTAAAGTTTTGGGGCTTTTTTTTTTTTTTTAAATAATTATCTAAACAAAATAAATAGATACAGATATCAAAACTAATATCTTCAGGATGGATTTCACTCATAGGGTAAACAAGAGAAAACCTAACTCTTAAGACTCAAGCTGTCCAGAAGAAAATTCAGTAATTAATAATGTTACAAAGCAAACCTTTGCTGACAGTTGATTCTGGGTTTCTCAAAAAAGGCCACAAGTTTTCCTTGCCAGCTGTGTCTTTAGTTATTGGGCTAGTGAATCTTTGGTACAGTGAGTGGCTTCAGCTGATCCCTGCAGAGGCTTTGGTGGGAAGAGTTAACAATTATGTGAATATAGCATCTGTATCATTTTTCCATTGTGAGTGAACATCAAGAGAGGGAAATATGTTCAAACTTAGAAGTGAAAAAGTGTCAATGAGCATTCATGTAATTTTTGTGACAAGTAATATGAAGATGTGATAAGCAGCAAATATTCAACAGGCTGTTCAGCACATGAGCTTTGCCTGACTACCAAATGTGTGGTATTGTTTTCTTTTAAGTAAATGTCAGTTAATACTAACAGACATGCCCTAACCATGCTGCCTGTCTCCCATGCTGCCTCAAGCTCCTTAGTTTCATTTCCAAGCAAGAGGAGTCCCTGTAAAGAGGCACTAAGGATGGTTTAACTTAAATCAATATGCACAAGATAAAATAGCAGAGGGAACAGCTGAACAGTACCAGTTGTTCTGAGAATTGTCATTTCCCTGTGTTATTTTCCCTTCCAGTCCTATCCCACCCCTCTCTTGTGCCTGGGGCTGGCCTGCATCTGTTAAAAGATGCTGTGTGCATCAAAGGCTGCCTTGTCAGTGACAGTTCTCGCCACTGATGGATGATGATGTATGAAACAGGGTGGTTTGGGAGCAACACAAAAGTGAGACCAACAGGCACAAAGTCTTGCTTTATATCGATTGCTGACTTCGGCTGTTTGCATTTAGCTATCTAACAGGGTAATTGGTTTGTCAAAGTTTAGCTGTCAGTTAATTCTTCCAGTCTTGCTTACTCTACACATTTTTAAGCAACGTAAATGGGTCACAGGATGGCAATAACTTTTGTCTATTGTATTTCCGTTCTTTCCAGGATCTAGCACAGATGGCAGTAAGGCTGGGCATTCCAGTATACTGGGTTCAGAGGTGGCCTTATTTGCAGGGATTGCATCAGGGTGCATCATTTTCATCGTCATCATCATCACTTTGGTGGTTCTTTTGTTGAAGTACCGGAGAAGACACAGGAAGCATTCCCCGCAACACACGACAACTCTATCACTTAGTACATTAGCCACCCCAAAACGCAGTGGCAACAACAATGGTTCTGAGCCCAGTGACATTATCATTCCTCTAAGGACTGCAGACAGTGTCTTTTGCCCCCACTATGAAAAGGTCAGCGGCGACTATGGACATCCGGTGTACATAGTTCAAGAGATGCCTCCTCAGAGTCCAGCAAACATTTATTACAAGGTCTGAGGAACACACAACCAGCTCTGTGGTACAGTTGAGTCGTAGAGGAAACTCACTGGTCAAATGCTTTCTGTTGGGGTTTGTGATGACGCCTTGTGCGCTAGCATTGACTTAAGCACAGGGGGGAGAAGGCAACAGCTCTTTCTCCAGGAACCGACGCGAGCTGGACAGCTTACCTAGTCTGTAGAATCCCTCTCTCGGTGAATAAGTATTCACTAAAAGCTGGAAGACTTTTCTGTAGAAGATGCCCATTCTGATTGCTGTACTCTTGTTACATTCATCATCCTCAAAGCCATGTGCTGTGGGCATTCAGGCATGTACAAAAGCCAAGGGAAGATGGAGCAATCCGTGGATGTTAATAGCTCTAGGCATCCTGGGAAGGTGCTCTAGGATATATCAAGCTTGAAATGCGATCTTCTGACTTATGTGTGTCTTTCTCAGTGCGTACTGGATTTGTCACACAGACCTTGGTGTCTAAGTAAGACTTGTTAAAGTTCTCTTGCTTTTAGTCCGTCACTGTTCCATTTGTTTCTGTTATCCGGGGCTCTGCCATCCTTCACATAAGATTTCCTTTCACTCCACCTCCTGAATCACTAATGGAACATTAATGTTTGGAGATCCGCACTCCATCCATCTGCTACAGCAGCCTCACTCGAATGGGTAATGCATTTATAAAAATTGTGTTTGATAGTAAGGAGCCTTCCAGCCAAAAAGTTAGGCTGTCAACAAAGTCAAGAGCAGGACTGGGTGGTGGAGGGAAGGGCTGATTGAGGTTGCAATTGAATATTGCTGCCTCAGAAATAGAAGCTGGGAAGAAAAAAAAATGCATTTAGGTAGCACAGCACTTTGGTATGCTAAGTTTTAAGAGGCAAGTAGGAAACACAATAACATGTGCAGTGGATTAAGGCTGCATTTGAAGGAATTCACGGTTATCAAATACCACTGTGCAGAAAAAAATAGTACCTTCAATACAGTAGAACAAAGGGGTATTGTTAGTAAGTCAACAAGCCTGGAGAAGACAAGACAATAGCAGGCCACTGAGGATGTATTAGGGCAGGGCTGTTGTGGTACTGGCAATAAAATAAACAGCTTTGAAGCTGTAGCAAAAACGTAGTCTGCCTTGGATGACTTTTAAGCAGACTCAGCTGCTATATGATCACATTATACTAAACACAGGGAAAGCATTTAAGAAAACAACTGAGAGCCAAGTGCCTACGATGATTATAAGCCAGTGGGTCAAATGAGCTATAATTCTATCACTGATAAAGTTGTGGGGAAAAAAAAAAAAAAAAAAAAAAAAAACAAACCACAAAACCTTGCTCATCTCTGAAAGTGAGGCAGAATTTCTTTGTGACTGACCCTTTTGGCACTTTGGCTTATTGTAGTGCTGTCCCTGCACAGTGAGTGTAGGTACTGACTGACACAGCAGTTCATTGGTGCTCAGTTGCAAAGTTAAAGCACATATGGCAAACCTCTGGCAGTCCGTAAGGGAAAAATAAATTATGACACTGAGATGGAGAAGGAAAATATGTCTTATTTATAATAGGTGTATAGAACACAAGGGATATAAAGTGAGAGTTTTTCTTTTGTTCATTCTTTCTTACTTTTGGTTTGGATTTTTTTACTAATATATATTTTGAGATTGCACAGAATCTACACCAGAAGATGTGAAATTCATTCGCGGCAATTGCATAGTCTTAACTTGTCATCATTTTCCATATATGTGTGTGTGTGTGTGTCTATGTATATACACACATATATAAGTATATATGCATACGTATGTATGTATATATGTATGCATATGCGCACATTTTTTTAAAAAATAAACTACTTCTGGAAAAAAAAAAAAACAGCTATCCTAAACCACCAGTGGGAGCATAGTTAAAAAAAATTCCAAAGCATCTTGTAAGAGGAAAGTAGAAAATATAAGGTCCAAAATATCAGGAATTCAGTGTTACTGCATCACATATTTAACAGCAACAAGATGTGCCGGCATTTATTTTCTGTGTTGTGTTTTCCCTTGCCTTACAGGCTGATGTGTTCTGTAGATTTTCTTGAGGTTCGTAGAGGGGGGGTTTCAGGTTAAAGTTTTCTCTTTAGCGTGGCTATTCCCCTAAAGCTCCCACCCTAGGGAGGAAATAAAAAAAAACAACCTCTACTTTTATATGTGCTATGCAAATAGACATTTCTAACATAGTCATGTTACTATGGTAACACTTTGCTTTCTGATTTGGAAAGAAAATGTAGCAACAGCATTTTAGGGTTCTCAGACCTCTGGTGAGCACCTGCAAGAGAAAAAAAAGGAAAAAAAAGAAAGAAAAGAAAAATATCTGTCATAGAAATGATCACTCGCTTTGTTTTCTGAACCTGAAGATAATGTTGGGATGTTGGCCCAAAAGAGAGAAACAAAAAACAAAAAAAATTCCAACCCATGGTTCTGTGGAAGGTTACCATGGTGACTAACTACAGTACATATGTAATTCTTTTCAACAACCCTTCTTTTCTATGAATCTATCCATACAAGGTTCTCTTGTAAGTCATTAAGATTTTATTTTGGGGGAGGGGAAGGGAAAAGATGGGCTTACTGATCCTTATTTTTATTAAATCATATCTGTGCTTCATCAGTTGGCTACATTCTAGTTATATACTAAACTGTGAAAAAAAATCAGACTAATTGCTCAAGAGCAACCTGCAACCAATTGAAAAAAAAAATGTACTGTGCGTCTGTTTTGTGTCTGGTGCAGAATTATGACAATCTACCAACTGTTCTTTCTTTGACGTTGGTCCAGTATTGAAAAGTTACTGTAAATGCCTTGCTTGTATGATCATCCCTAGTCACCCAAATTGGAATTTGCACCATCATGTCTAAGTGAAGATGCTGTAAATAGGTTCAGATTTACTGTATATGGATTTGGGGTGTTACAGTAGCCTTATTCACATTTTTAAATAATTAAAAAACCCACATGAAAACAAGAGAAAAAAGGCTTTTCTTAACCAGATTGTGTATATAGAGCAATGTTGGTTTTTTATAAAGTCTGAGCAAGATGTTTTGTATAAAATTTGAATTTTGCAATGTATTTAGCTACAGCTTGTTTAAAGGCAGTGTCATTCCCCTTTGCACTGTATTGAGGAAAAAATTATATAAAAGGTTGCCAAATTGCCGCATATTTGTGCTGAAATTGTGTACCATGAATATTTATTTAAGAATTTCTTTGTCCAGTTTGTAAGTAACACAGTATTATGCTTGAGTTATAAATAATTTCTTCTTTCTTTTTCTTTTTTTTAATTTTATTTTTTGGTTTTGTTTGTTTGTTTGTTTCATTCTGTATTAAAACTAGCCGGTCATAAGTTTGAAATCTGCTTTAGTTCCACATTGCAATTAGTTCCCAGAAAATGAAAATTATGAAAATCACATTCCACATCTGTTTCAAACTGAATTTGTTCTTAAAAAAATAAAATATTTTTTTCCTATGGAAACCTTGCCTTCTAAGTATTTTCTTCTTTAGTTTTGCAAATTTTTTTCTTTTTTAAAGGATAAAAATAAATAAGAAAGTCACCAAGCTTACCTGCCTGCCTCCCCCCGTCTCTCTCTTCCTTCTCTCCCCGCTTCTCTCCAACCTGATTGCTAGTGGTTTATAGGAAATCTCCTTAGAGTACACTGACTTCTGTTAGCCTACTTCTTTCAAATTCTCTCTTCCATATATCAGCAGCTTTTAGGAATCGTCTGGGCATCTTATGCCCTTGGAAGGCAATGAACTGCAGTCAGATGCAGTAGCCAGGTTTCTTGGATGATCTTGGAATTGAGAGTACAACCACATAAATAATGCCCAGACATTATGTGGTGGATGTACTCTGTGGGCAGAATCAGAGGAAAAAAAAAACCAACACCTGAAGCTTTGTCCTGAGGAAGGGCAATGGAGAGCCTGGGGTGACAGGGCTGAGCAAGAAGGGACAGGAGGTGAAAGACATTGGGAGGATGACAAAGGATTGGAAGTGCTGCAAAGTCAGGATATCTCTTCATGGTTCTTCACTGCAGCCTGGGGGAGATGGGGCCAACGTGCAGGTAGCATGAGCCTTAATACAACTCCTGTGATTCTGCTGCCCTAATTTTCACTAGGGTAACAAATTCACTTACAATACCTTCATTTTCTGACAAAGCCCGGTCACCCTGAAAGTGAAGCACCTTTCTGTTAGCAGTGCATAAATGGTGTGATGGTCCATGGAGTAACAGGTGGGAAGGTCTACAGAGGGAAAATAAGCATTTGTCAGTTTAACAACAGATGCCAATTAGCCATAGAAATTTCACAGTTAGCTATTTGTATTATGGGTCATGCAATTCCCATTTGTCAAATTATTTTTTTTTTCTGAATAATCAGAGATAAATGACAGTATGGCTAGCACACGTGGCATGTCACAATGACGCAAGTACTCTGAAATGGGGCGTACAGAAACCCCTGGACTGGGAGATGGTTGAAGTAGTATGACTTCTTGCAGTTGGAGCTCCTTTTGGAGATACAGGTCACAGAATCTGTGCTGGAAGTTGACCTTAAAGGGAAAGTCACAGTGACACTTTGGTTCACCTCCTGGCTCTGGTACAGATGACCTTGGAGACTTGGTCCAGTAGAAGTCATAAGAGTGAAACATGTGAGCATCCTCTGGCATCTCAGTAAATCTTGGGCCTAATCCTCTATTTAGGTCTGTAAGCCACTTCAAAGGAGGTAGCCTTGTGTTCTCTGAGCACACAGCTACTCGGCTGGATTGTGGTTTCACTCCCTGCTCAATGGTTGCACACGGCAATTCCCCTTGCTGGTCTCGGTGGGTTGTCGTGAGGGCTCCCACGTCATCTGCTGTGAGGTGCTCAGGTCTGGTCTGTGCTGAGAGCCTGTCTGGCATGGCCATCTGTTAGAGCTGTGGCTCTGGCTTAGTTAGGGCCGAGGCTATTGTTTGTATTTTAATCCTTGTTAAATACTCGAAGCTGTTGATAAACAAATACTTCAATAGTGTCAAGTTTACATGGCATTTTCATTACTGTGCCTCTTTTTTCCTGAGTATATTGTTATATATATTTATAACTAGCATGTATACTGACACCCATGGACACCTATTTTTGCCACTGTCTTAGCAACAAGGGAAAATTGCTGTTGCTAAAAAACTGTGTCTCCACTGGGAGGGAAAAATCCCTGCCAGTGTAATAACTATCTGTATATTTATGCCTGGGGCCAAGGATGCTTGGTTAACAGGAGTGCCTTGCACGCATACCTTCCCAAACAGAGCAGAACCTCCACTGAGTTGCTGAACTCATTTTAGTAAAAGATGCCTTAGACACTCAGCATAAAGTCATTGTCTTACAACCCATCTGTTATAACTTGCAGAGGAAAAAAAATACTTTCATTTTTTCCTGCTGCTGACACCTCACTATTAATTATCAAACAAGCACAAAATCAGAATTTACTGCCTTTATTACAAAACTGGTTCTCTGGCAAGAGCTGGTCCAAGTCAATAGGCTCCACTAAGTGGAAAATAAAATTATAATTCACAGTAGTTATCCATCTAGAGTGGAATTAGGATCTGTTATATAAAATAGTGCCTCACAAAGTAAGCATAACAATGTTACTGCCTTGGTTTAAAACCTTGTACCTCTTTTTCAGCCTGTCTCTTTAGCTTTGCTGTAATGCATTGATCAAATGCTCACTCAGTCAGCAGCACACTCGTTTTGATTCTATGGGCACTATAAATTTTCTTTTTTGCAGAAAAGCTTAAAATTTTGTAGTGGTTAGCAAAATAAAGGACAATGAAAATGCAGTCTTTCTAACTGCCGCTCTCCATCTTCACAGCCACAATACAAATTTTGGTGGGGAAGATGCCCAAGGTTTGAAAACACCAAACAAACTCCTTATACAATTGGTATGTCATTACATGAAGCATCAGACCAGAAATAAAGTAATATTTGTTTTGGAAAAAAAATGTATGTTGGAGCGTATAGCACAGTGTATTAATGGTCGTGCTATTCATAATCCAAATGGTGCTGGATTCAGCTGACTGAGCTATCGTCTACGAAACAAAATAATAACACTCGTCTTTCACATGAGTCACGCAAATACTTTGATGCATAATTAAGGCATAATGCAATCCATAGGAAACCCTCTTGAGAAGGAGGGGCAGGAGCCTGCCCATACACAGTGAGGATGAGGAGGTGGAGCTGCTGGTGGCTGCTTCTGGAGGAAGGACTGTGGAACAGTGGGATGAGGCAAGAGAGGGAAAGTGTGAGAGAGGGCAGTGACTTTCTAAGCAGTGACTTTCTTCAGGGAGATCTGCAATGACAAAATCCAGGGAGAAATCAGAGCTAGGTGGCAGCTGTGGAGGTAGAGAAACAGGGTCTTCAGAGCTCTGGGAAAGGCTTTGGTGGAAAACGTGCAGAAGAAAAGTGTTGTCAGATGAAAAGCAAGTGTAGTGTTTGATAAGTATTGGTTATTGTTTCAGGTAAGAGGAGAGGCCAGGTTGTTCTGCTAGTACTGACAGGAGACTGAGCCTAAATAAGGAGGAGAACCCAGGCCAGAAGTCAGTGCTTTCTGCAGCCTCGGATCCTGTGAAAAAGAAATCAAGGATCTCCAGGAACTGTAGGACTAGTCAAACTCCAAAAGGCAGAGAACCTTGTGCACGCCTGTCATAGCTGGAATACAACTTGTGTTTTCATAAGTGCATTGAAAAACCCTCATGTGCTTAGACTGCTGAAGAAGTGCAATTATTAAATTAATAATATGGGGAATTCATGGAGGGTGTGATGATAGTTGTTTCTAGATCAGACCTTCAGTGGATATAAATTAGCATAGTTCAGTTTGATATCTGCTCCTACTTAACACAGTTCAGAGTTGCACACGCCTAAGCAATACTCACACAGATTTTACTATAGCCCTCAGCTATGAGGAAATGCTTTATAAGAGTGTTGTTCTGAATATTATGAAGATTGTATTCAAAAACATACCAACAGTGACTTGCTTTTATAAAATACTGCTATCAATGCCATAAAAATTGTATTTTGTATTTTACTGAACACTGTCAGCAATTTGCTGTATCTGTTCATTAAAAGTAGGTTGGATTACTAGCAAATGTGTAATAAAAATTGTTCATGTTTTAATGAGTCTTTTTGGCCTCTCTTTAATATTTAAACTCATTCCTTCCTACTCCTGCACTCAATTCTATTTCTTATGCTTAACAGGCAGGTCAGCTGTGCAATGTTATTACATTATCTGTTCATGCCCACATGCTATCTTTCTAGTCTTTCCAAATCTCTTAATTTGTTCAACACACCTAATTCTGACTGTCTTTAAACTCAGCTGTTGGATGTGTATGACCACATGAATAATTTAGTAATCATTCAGAATCAATAGCACTTCAGTTTTCACTGCCATGAGAAATATGGGAGGATGAGAGGCCAGGAGGCCACAAGAGCCCTTTGTTTGTCACACTAAAAGATCCTGAGATTTGGGGAAATCCAAATGATGATGAAAGAGTTAAACATCATGCATGTGCTGCCTTTGCTTCACGCTTTCCCTTCATTATGTGTTATGTTTTCTTTTTATACATAACCAACAAAGCATATCTGAATTTTCCAGGCCTCAAAACAGGGTCCAATCTGTAGAGATTCATATGGCTGGGTCTGTAGGTCTTTTCTCAAGTTCCCACTGTTGGGTAAATGCTGGCTGCTTTCCTTCAGCCTGTTTATTGCACACCCAGATGCCTTGCCCTGCTCACCTGCTCATCACACCAGCCCTGCCCATCACACCAGCCCTCGCTGGGGCTTCATATGTTCCCAAATAAGGTTTAATTTCTGGACAAAGCTTTTGTTACTCACCCTGAAACTTTCTTTTCAAATATTGCCCTAGGCTTTCCTCCCTTTATATGCCTGTCTCTGGATTTCAGCTGGTGATGGCATTTCCTGAAAAAAATAAGGTTCTGATGGAACACAGGAACCATCCCTGTACCAAGAGTGTGTTTTCTTATAAGCCCCTTATTTTTCAATCAGCTTTAGTTTGAATTTTTATATGGCTTTATCTCTTCCTTTTGTATTTATGCAGTTGCATCTGAAGGAAAATAGCATGCAGTAAAATTCCTAAATTTAAATATAGCTTGTTTCAATCCACTTGGTTTTACATTTCCATTTATCAATACATTAAGCTAAAAATATCTCAGATTGCTTTGTCTTGCTTCTTGTAATTTAAGAAAAGTTATTGAATATGTTATGATTTCTTCTCAGAAAAGTGTAAGCAGTTCACTTTGGAAAGCATCATTTGAGCAGAATTAAGAAGCAGTTATCAATGTGCAGCACAAAACTGAGTGAGCATATTTAAAAAAGACAGAATGACTTTTGGCAATGACCAATACTTGGTTTTGGTTTGTTTCCTTAAGCCAGCTCAAAACTGGAGAGGAGAAAGTGCTGTTGGTTTTACTGCCAGTGCCCCAGTCTGGTGGCAGCCAGA